TTTCAAGTCAAAGGTCATCTTTGTGACCCACAAAGACTACCCTTGCTTTAAAGGTTACAAATGTAGACGTTCACTTATGTTTGGAATGTTCCTAAAATAATTTGAAAATTAAAGAAAAATATAGAAATAAGCTAAAATGTCACTGCAGTTGAAACCTGAAATTTTTCTAGTTCTTATATAGGACAGTACTGCATTCTTAATTCAAAGTACAGGTGGTTTAACTGTCTAAATGTGTTACTATGGTATTCTTTGAACTGTGGTTCAGCTGAATAATACTGACAAACAAAATAAAACCTGTATTCACTTTCCACTAGTGTGCTGACATAATGTACATGGAAGATAAAAAGACTGAGAATAAATGCATTTATATGATTTCCTTCTGTTCTTGCCCATGAAAGAACTCTGTGTGTATTGCTCATGGGAGAGTTTTTGCTGAATGTTGAATAAATATTCTGTAGTACTGTGTGTGTTCTTGAGCCATAAAATACTCTGCTATATTTGTCCTGTGGTCCTTCAGCTCTAGGGTGCTAAAGCCTTGGCTTGTGCTTTCCTACATAATTAGGTGAACAGGGAACTAAACTGGAGTGATGAAGTAATTGAATAATTGCTAAATAATGCAGCAATGTTTTATAAAGAGAAAGAGAAGGAAAAGGTGAATTGAAGAAAACCGGGGGGGGGGGGGGGGTGTTGTAACATAGTCTTAACTTGAAATTATTACTTATATGTGGTCATTTTTGGAGTAATTCCCAATCACCAGACATACTTACATAAACATAAAAAATTATCTTCTACATTCAATGTATTCATATTTTGTTTTTTTTGCCAGTTTTAAAACATTTTTCTAAATAGACTACACTTAATCCAACATTTTTGTTGAAATAAACACCAGACATGCTTACATAAACATAAAAAATTATCTTCTAATTCAATGTATTCATATTTTGGTTTTTTTGCCAGTTTTAAAACATTTTTCTAAATAGACTACACTTAATCCAACATTTTTGTTGAAATAAACGTATCTTTAGGGGATCGTTTTTTTTCAGAGAAGATGAAAGAACTACTCTAACTACAATATTAACATGATGATGATTTAAAAACACAGGAAATGTTCTTATTTTTAATGGTACTTTTGTTATTTTTGTTATGTAGCTCCTCAATCATGTTATTCTTGTTTTGGTAATGCAAGCATACCTTGTGTGGATAAGGAGGAAGGCTTAATGTGAGATCATCCTTAGTTTGCATGGATTCAAAACATATTCTTTCAAAAGATAGATCTTATAATCAGGACACAGGCTTTTCTGAGTTTGGAAATTATTATGTCCAAAAGAATAGAAAATATGCACCAAAGCCATAGATCAAAGAAATAACCCTGCTGGGCTTAAGGAGGATAATGTTAATGAGTAAGAGATCTGTAATTATCTCTTAGAAAAATATAGCTTTGATAATGGATTTTCAATACATCAGAAGTGTGTATTTGAAAGTTGAAGCCAAGTGAGTTCAAACCAGAAGCAAAGAAGCATTTTCAGAAATTTTATCAGTTAGCCATTTTATCAGTTATTATCAGAAATTTTATCAGTTAGCCATTTTATCAGTTAGCCTTTGGAACAATCTGCCACATGATGTGTGGTCTCTCTTTAGATTATTGCAAATTTTGAAATAAAGAGGCCTTTCCCCTTCCTCTGACCTCACTTGAAAGTTTAAATGAGAAGTTTTCCAGGAGATTACATTACATATGACCTCTGTAATCCTTCTATGGCTTTATAACCCATAAATATAACTCAGTGTAAGCCTGAGTAAATGGATGATTATGTGTGACAGAAGGTATTTGGCTCACTCTTAAAGATTTGAAAATGGAGATAGAGGTTTAGTACAAGACCAGAGCTTCATCTGCTGTTGCAGTGTCAAGCCAAAACTCTCTGCCTGGTGCATGAGCTCTGCCTCTGCGCTTCTGGTCCCCGACTGCCCGGCGTTGTGCAGCCTTTGCCTGCCGTGCCAACCTGGCCGTCCACCTTTCGCCTGTGATTAGAACTGGCACGTTCCTATAGAGCTCTGTGCATCCAGCAGGCCTGGCCCTTGTCCCAGAGAAAAGAGGAGGCAGAAGAGTTGCTTTTTGTAGCAGAAGGAAGGGTAGTGGTTGGATTGGATTGACCATCATCACTTATAAAATGGATTTAGACATGCACATACATGTCTACACACACCCCTGAAGGAAAGCATATCCTGATTCTCTGGTACAAAACTGTCATTGATTTTTGTGCATTCTGTGGAAGTCTGAGGGTGATTTCATGCTCCAATTTCATAATATCTAATTCTAGCACAACTATGGAAGCTGACCATTGTTTGTAATTACCATTTCAAGCCCTGTTTTGGAATACAAATTGGAAGCTTGAGATGAGACAGTAGCTCCACTATATGCAGTATGTGCCCAAAGAGACAGTCTTTACCCTGAAGAGTTTATGATCTAAACATGTAAAATGAATGAAAGAAGTCTTTGCAGAGAGGTCATAGTCCAGTATCTGATGCTTAGTTTTGGTAATGCCACATGTGTGGGGTAACTCGTTACCAGAAAAACCCAGCCCCAACTTCCTCTCTCCCCCCAAAAAAGAAAAAAATTACAACTTGAAATGATATATGAAATGGTACTGTATTTTGTATATATTTGGTACGGATTCACTGAATGTCTTCAAACTACCTTACACTATTCTTCTTGTACTCATTAGTAAAAAAATCTCTGATTTTTAACTTTGCAGGGATAGATTGAGTTCCTCTTTTTTCCATCTGCCTACTATTGCAAAATAACGTGAGTGCCCCCATAAAATTTCCTTTGATGCTGTTTCTAAATATTGCAGAGCTCAGACCAATAATTAAATTATTTTCCAAGTTTGAATTCACTTTACATTGGCATGCAAATTAGAACTATTTGGAGCTTGTAGAGGTTTTTCATAGTTTTCATGATTAGGCGATAGGCAAGGGTAAAGAATTTGGCATTTGCTTTGTCTCTTTCTTTGAAGAGTTGACTCTGCTTTTCCTCCAAGCCTGCTAACTCCACTTCAGCTATTACAAGTGTTAATAAATATAATCGGATTTTTTTTTTTTTACTTCCAGTATATGCTCTTGTCACAGCATGAAAAGATATAATGTTCCAACAAATCGTGTTGTCTTTCTTTTGAGATAGTAGTAAGAGCTCCGTTACATTCTTGCTCATCAATGATCAGGTCTTTATTTGAAATGAATCACCAGAAAAATTCGAAACATAGATGTATCTAGGGTACTTCAATTGATTCTGGGAAATTTCTTTCTTATTCTGAGCTATACAAATCCTAGTCTTTGTAAATTAACTTTTCTCCTTTGGATAGTTGGGAAAATGTAACAGTTAAGTCTCCTTGCCTTATTGAAGAAAATCCTTATAACCTGTTTCATCTACATGTTGTCTGAACAGCTACTACTACAATAGCATAAAATATTTTTGCTTTTGTAATATTAGCACAGGCCTGAAGGCTAGAACAGTTTATGTAGCCAGCTGCAATTGTATTTGATTATCCAATTCAGCCACTCTGCAAACAATCCAATCAGGCATCAAAAAACTTTTCATTTGTTTTTAACCCCAGAATCAATCTTACTGAGCTTCACATGTTAAGACTATGGAACAGAAGAATAAGCGCTTTGTGACTGGAAGGAAAAGGTAAATGAATGGACTTGAGAGTGATTAGAAAGAAGGAGCATGGCCTTAAATGTTGGATAGTTAGTGTTGTTGAGAATATACAGATTTATACCCTGTGACATAGGAGAAATATGGAGCACATATGAGCACCAAGTA